GCGTGCCCGAGCTACTCGTTCAATGGGTCCAACTCCTATACAGATGTCACAAAAGCCGTGTAAAAGCGGCAGCTGGGATATCAGAGGAGTTCAATATCACCGTCGGCGTACACCAGGGCTCTGCTCTCTCACCACTGCTGTTCATTCTGGTGATGGACACAATTACACACGACCTGCACACGCCCGCCCCATGGACGCTGCTCTACGCCGATGATGTGTTCCTGGCCAACCTGCGCAAGGCTGAACTCGAGCACCTAGTCCAACAGTGGCACGACCGCCTCGAGCAGTTCGGGCTCCGGTTGAACCTAAAGAAGTCCGAATACCTGACCACTGACAACGAAACGACAGGCTCCATCCACGTGAACGGGCAGGAGCTACCGCGCGCCTCCACCTTCAAGTACCTGGGAACTACTCTTGGGGAAGAAGGCCTACTACAAACTGAGGTGGCAGCCAGGATCAACGCAGCGTGGGGCAAATGGAAGTCCGTCACGGGCGTCCTCTGTGACAAGAAGATGCCGATGCGCCTGAAAGCGAAAATCTATAACTCTGTGGTGCGCCCCGTGGCCATATACGGCGCAGAGTGCTGGCCGACGACCAAAGAAGTCGAAAGCAGACTCCAGACAATGGAGATGCGAATGCTCCGATGGTCGGTAGGCCTCACCCTACTCGATCGCGTCAGGAATGAAGAAGTGCGCAGACGGTTCAACGTCGTGCCCATCCCCACGGTCATGAGGCAGTCCCGGCTACGATGGTTCGGCCATGTGAGTCGCGCCAAGGAAGAATCCATCATCAAATCTGCGATGAAGGTGATTGTCGGAGGAGCGAGACCGCGTGGTAGACCTAAGCAACGCTGGATGGACACGATCAAGGCCGATCTAGAGATCGCGAAGGCAGACCCGACACACGTGGCAGACAGCGAGGCGTGGAAGCAGTACTCAAGGACATTAGCGGACCTCGCCAGAGCGCGAGACAAACGCTGAAGAAAAAGAAGAAGAAGAAGAAGATCGTGCTCTGTTGCATATTGGCCTCCAAATTGGTCTATGTGAGACCAGATTCGAGTGAGGAAATAAGCAAAATGTTCATGTTGTCCTTCAAAAGTGCCCTTGAACAGCATCAAGTCTGGTCTGGGGGATGGGGGGAGGTGGTATCGCCCTGGCAACCACAGGCTGAGATGGAATAAATGGAGCCTGGCAAGGCGTGTATCTACTTTGGAGGGGTATTCTGCAGCCTGGCTGGGTTGGGGCTCTCTGGAAGAAGGGCCTCTGCAGGGTTGCTCCGAGAGGGGGTTGATTAGAGGCCAGTTGTTGCCTTATTCCCTGCGTGGGGAAATGGGGAGTGGCTGCTGCCTGCTGCCTGTGCAGATTCCTTTGTTGGGAAGGGATTGCTGATTCTCTTCGGGGCCAGGGCATTGCCGGCACTGGCATCCATTGGCACTGGACCCACCCTTGGCCAGGATAAAATCTCCACCCTGGAGGGATACTCTCTGCAGGAGGTAATCTCCTTTCTGGTTGTGGGGGGGTGGGACTGGGAGTTCGTAACATACCCGTTGTAGTCTGTGTCTCCCGTCTCTCCCTTGAAATTCGATCCTGCCAGGCTGGGCTGCTTTGCTGGCCATCTCCAACTGATACTGGTGTGAATTCCCCTTCCCTCCTTAAACTGGGGAAGGTAAAAGTGGGCTGCGTTATGCTCCAGCTTGTTTGAAGAGTTTGTGGCTTTGAGACATAACTTTCCACCTTTAGCTGGTGAAGCTGTTCTGAGATTCCTGCCAACAATTGGCTTTGGGATGTAATCCCCTGGTTGCCATCTTGGGAGGCGTCTGATGCAATTGAGGCTCCACACCTCCAATTTGCCTCCCTTGCAGTATGTAGAGGGCTTGAGAAAGAGATTTGTTCCAGCAGTTTTTCTTCCGGCCCCATCTGACAACTCCCCCACGAGTCTGATCCTTTGGGCGAAGCTCCTAAATCTTGTCTCCCTTCTGCATGCCTCAATGCCTGCATCACCTCCTCTGAAGGGGGGCTGGGGGATTCAGCTAATCTTCAGGAAAACCCCCCCCCCCAAGCCCCTTCTGTCTCACCTTCCATCTTTGCTGATTCTTCGTACTGATCCATTCCTGGGGTTCAGCAACCCCTAATAGCGCCCCTCTTAGGAGTGCTGGTAGTTGTTAGAATTTCAAAATAATGTCAGCATTCCAGGGAACCTCCATTCCAATGAGTAACTCTGACACAAGCATAATCTCAAAAGTACCTTTATTAGAATAGCACCAGGCACATCTGTGGAATTTCAAAACTAAGTTTCCCAGACTTCCCACAATGTCCCAAACTACAAACCATCCTCTTTTCTCTCATCATCACATCACATGAACCAATCCCAAAGTAAGTTCCTTTTTGTATCTTCGCCACACTCTATGACCTTGAGCTAACAAAAGAATTCTATTTTGTCTACCTAGAGCTACTCAATAAAAATCAGCCCCCTCCCACTTCCTCAAGCTACGTGGCAGCGATGAATGATTCCAAAGCTGACAGATGGAAGGTTGAGTCAACTTTGAGCTAGTGAGACCCAAATTACCAAACTGCTGGCAGCCGGTAATCAGCAGAAGTAGCCTGCAGTACTGTCAGTGATGGGATTCAAATAATTTAACAACCAGTTCTCTGCCCTAATGACCATCTGGGTGGGCATGGCTGAGTGGTCATGTGACTGGGTGGATGTGGCCAACTTCACTAACCCTAATCCTAACACTTAGGAAATTTCTCCTTAGTCCAACTCGCAATAAAATACCACAATAGTACTGTTCCAATATTTAGAATAGAATAGAATAACAGAGTTGGAAAGGACCTTGGAAGTCTTCTAGTCCAACCCCCTCCTTAGGCAGGAAACCCTACACCAGGGGTCCTCAACCACCGGTCCGCGGACTGGTACCGGTCCGTGGAGCACTCCGTACCGGGCCGCAAAGAAATAAAAAAATAAAAAAAATGGCGGCTTTCTTCGCCTTCGGTGAATGCTGCTGGGATCGGGGATCAAGGACACAAATGAGAGAAGGGGAGGGAAGAAGCAACCAAAGCCTGTCCTGCTCTCTGGCTCAGCGGCTTCGGTTTCCTCTCGCCTCGTTCCTCTCTCAGTCGCTCTCTCGCTGCTCCACCAGCCCAGGAAGAAACTGCTTCAAAGAAGCCGGGGGGGTGGCTTTTCCTGTCGCCGCAGCTCCTCC